TCCAGTGACATACTTGTAATCAGTCCTGTACCTGTATTGTTGACATACCTGTTATCAGTCCTGTACCTGTATCAGTGATATACTTGTTATCGTCTGTACCTGTCCCAGTGATATACTTGTAATCAGTCTGTACCTGTCCCAGTGATATACTTGTTATTAGTCTGTACCTGTCCCAGTGACATACTTGTTATCAGTCTGTACCTGTCCCAGTGATATACCTGTAATCAGTCCTGTACCGTCATCAGTCCTGTACCTGTATGAGTGATATACTTGTAATCAGGCCTGTGCCCGTATCAGTGATATACTTGTTATCGTCTGTACCTGTCCCAGTGATATTCCTGTAATCAGTCCTGTACCTTTGTTGACATACCTGTAATCAGTCCTGTCCCTGTATCAGTGACATCCTTGTAATCAGTCCTGTACCTATATAAGTGATATACCTGTAATCAGTCATATAGCTGTCCCAGTGACATACTTTTTATCAGTCTGTTCCTGTCCCAGTGACATACTTGTAATCAGTCTGTCCCTGTCCCAGTGATATACTTGTTATTAGTCTGTCCCTGTCCCAGTGATATACTTGTTATTAGTCTGTACCTGTATTGTTGACATACCTGTAATCAGTCCTGTGCCTGTATAAGTGATATACCTAAAATCAGTCCTGTACCTGTCCAAGTGATATACTTGTAAACAGTCTGTACCTGTCCGAGTGACATACTTGTAATCAGTCTGTCCCTGTCCCAGTGACATACTTGTTATCAGTCTGTACCTGTCCCAGTGATATACTTGTAATTAGTCCTGTACCTGTATAAGTGTTATACCTGTAATCAGTCCTGTAGCTGTATAAGTGATATACCTGAAATCAGTCCTATACCTGTATAAGTGATAAACCTGTAATTAGTCCTGTACCTGTATAAGTCATATACCTGTAATCAGTCCTGTGCCTGTATAAGTGATATACCTGTAATCATTCCTGTACCTGTATAAGTGATATACGTGTAATCAGTCCTGTACCTGTATCAGTGACATACTTGTAAACAGTTTGTACCTGTATCAGTGATATACCTGTAATCAGTCCTGTACCTGTTCCAGTGACATACTTGTAATCAGTCCTGTACCTGTATAAGTGATATACCTGTAATCAGTCCTGTACCTGTATAAGTGATATACCTGTAATCAGTCCTGTACCTGTCCCAGTGACATACCTGTAATCAGTCCTGTACCTGTATAAGTGATATACCTGAAATCAGTCCTGTACCTGTATAAGTGATATACCTAAAATCAGTCCTGTACCTGTCCCAGTGACATACTTGTAATCAGTCTGTACCTGTATCAGTGACATACCTGTTATCAGTCCTGTTCCTGGATCAGTGACATACCTGTAATCAGTCCTGTACCTGTATTGTTGACATACCTGTAATCAGTTCTGTACCTGTATTGTTGACATGCCTGTAATCAGTTCTGTACCTGTATTGTTGACATACCTGTAATCAGTTATGTACCTGTATTGTTGACATACCTGTAATCAGTTCTGTACATGTATTGTTGACATACCTGTATCAATGCAGCAGCTGTGGGTATCTGTCTGTTGAAGTGTTTCTGTCTTTGCTTTTGTTGAACTTTTAAAGCAAACCCTGATCCTAAAATACCCTAAAATAGATATTAGGTTGGGTTAAAAAACAGTAACTCTGAGTTTTATTCAAATGATGAAGTTAAAGTTGAAACTAGTCAAGTTATCAGGAACAGTTATGCCAAACCTCAGTTAAATAATAGGAGTTAATTAATAAGTCAGATCCACAAACTGGTTAAGGTTAAATTACCTATGTGAAACACACACGTTCATGTATTGTGTAAACACTGTTATTAATAAAAACAACATATAAAATGGCTTGTTTGTTAGGGTAAGAATACCAAAGCTCTCTGAACCTTCCAGAGTGAACATATAGATATATTTAACCCCATTTTCTTGACTAAATATCACCTGTATGTTTATTGATTTTGCTGAAGACAAAACAAACAAGAGGCACCATGAGTCTGCATTACTTACCTGTTATTGGTGTCATATCTGTGACCTTCAAAGAGGGTTAAGGTCAAATTTATGTTAATAGGCATACTTAAATATCATTATTCTATACATTATGGATGCTTGCTAGGAGATATTATTACTCCAGACCTTATGAATATTTGTTGCAAGATTTTAACTCAAAAAGCTAATGTGACCTTCACAGTTGGTCTTGGTCATTCACTCAGATCCTTGACCTCATACACTTAACACCATTAGACCCAAGGCCTCTTCAGTAAACAGAAGAAGTCAGTTAAAGGTTTTAACACATTTCACCCTGTGATCTTAAAAGGGGCCAGAGTCTTTGATAAGAACAAGCATGATAACTCGTCAATCCAGTGTAATAACAGCCATATATCATAATCTTATGCTTAGTAGTCAAACCAAATAATGTGTTTAAAGTGTTTAACAATTTGACTCCTGTGACTAAAAGTATGTCAGGGTCATTTATTTGAACAAACTCCTCAGCCTTTTATTCCAGGATAAGCCATAGTTTAAAGAAAAATGTTGCCAACAGATGGATAGACGACAGATGCATATACCATGCCACGTACGGCATCAGCTCAGATCAGTTGCCCTTTGGGCAGGAAAGAATATTAAGATGTGTCAATGCAAACTGGTTGCAATTTTTTTTTACAGTATTTCACTTAAGTACTTACAGCTGGGAGAGCAAAAAATGAGATGGCAAAGACGGAGAAGCATGATGCAACGATTCTCCCCATCCACGTCATAGGAACAGTATCACCATACCCAATGGTTGTCACAGTGATCTAGCAAACAAAATGTTCAAACTAAATTACTTAATGATAATACAAACAGTAGGGTTTTTCTACAAAGCACTTAATGTCATGTTATTGAAGCTTGTTAGCAAGGATCTTCATTCTATTATACCTATCTTAAAGCTATGGTTTGGTAATCTCTATATATCAACACCACAGAGTTATATATTAATCTGTTTGGACGCTGTGTCAGCGCAGTGTGCCAGGGTGGTGTAATGCCAGACAGGTCCCTCCTGGTGTAAAACTGACACATGGACAGTGTATAAAATTACTGGTCACTCTAGAACCTCGGTAATGAGGTGCAGCTTACCATTCACAAGAATGTTTTTGCCCAACGAATACCACAGCACATAATTTTCTGTGGGACAATAAAAAAAACACTTTAATATGAAGAAATGAAGTCGCTAATACCACTGTGAACACAAGTATAAACATTATTCTGTAAGACGGCAACACTATACTGGGGGAATAAATACACTGACAACAAAGTTACACTGACCACTCCCCACCAGAGGGCATCTGCATAGCTTGTGAAGTGGGTGACACCGTCCTCCGATACAAAGTCTTTTTCGGCGAGGTAGACAAAGTAGGATGAGAAAATGAGACCTAAAAATCCTATGTACAGTGTTGTAATCAGCTCCTGTAACAAACAAGGGAGATAATAAAGAGACATGGAAGATAATCAAGTATAGTGAGACATGGGAGATAATCTAGTATAGTAACTCTTTTATATAGAAAGTCAAGAATAATGATTGAACTTGTTAATTAACATACATATAGTATTAGCCTAAAAGAAAAAATATTTAGCATTAGCCCATTACTAGTTCAACCAATCAGATAATTCATCCAATTAAAATTGCAGCACCATAGAGTAAATTTGAAGGGAAAAATAAAATGCATGTTTTTTTCTTATGTTTCTTTATTCAAAAGTGTATACTAGTATGAACTCTTTTTTTTTTGTCAATTATAAGTACAATGACATGAAATTTAGACCAGAAATATGTATATACAAAATGTATAAACTTTTAATCCTTTTTTTTATCGTAAGTCAAATACAACAATTAAGATAAGGGTATTATGTATAGTCTTATATATTTTAAAGCATTGTCTTTCAAAAATAGTTAACATCATGTCTAGGGGTAATTATAAGGGAAGCAAGAATTTTGCAATATAAACCTTTCTCAAGGCATAGCAATATAAAGGATACCTATCAGAATATTACATTCTAGCAGTGTTTTCCTTGTTAATTTCTGATATGTTACGCAAGTTTAAATAGACCAATAGTAACAATGTGTATTGAAAAGTTTCAGGAAATCTGAAATAGAACTGGTGTTGCCATAGAGTATCCTTTTACTTTGTCAGTAACACAGATCCATAGGCGCAGCTCATTTGGACCTCTTAGATTTGTTTGATACGTGGAGATATTGGATATGGGATGTTAATTAAAATGTGTGTAAGCTGTCTGTCGTGGTGAGAGCGTTGTCGCTGTGACAAACAGAGGTGCCACTCTGACTGTCGTGGTGAGAGCATTGTGGCTGTGACAGACAGAGGTGCTACTCTGACGTTTGTGTGTGGTGAGAGCGTTGTCGCTGTGACAGACAGAGGTGCCACTCTGTCTGTCGTGGTGAGAGCGTTGTCGCTGTGACAGATAGAGGTGCCATTCTGTCTGTCGTGGTGAGAGCGTTGTCGCTGCGACAGACAGAGGTGCCACTCTGTCTGTGTGTGGTGAGAGCGTTATCGCTGTGACAGACAGAGGTACCACTCTGATGTTTTTATGTGTGTAAGCTGTGTGTGGTGAGAGCGTTGTCGCTGTGACAGACAGAGGTGCCACTCTGACTGTCGTGGTGAGAGCGTTGTCGCTGTGA